CATCTAGCGGCAATGATCTCTCCAACTTCCGTCATCTATCGACTATGGTCTCTCCGACCACAATTGCTCGACGACTACTTTTCATCCAACCTCCGTCATCTGCACATTATGGTCTCTCCAACATCTGTTTACCGATTACAATCCCTTCAACCTAATTCGTTCGACTATCATCCCTCTAACCTCAATCCTTCAATTATAGTCCCTCCAACCTCGCTCACTTGGCTATGGTCCCTCTACCTCCATTATCCACCCAACTATAGTACCTCTAACTTCCGTTGTTTGATTATGATCCTTCAGGCCTCTGTTGCACGATTACGGTCCCTCCGACCTATGTAGCCCGACTACGGTCTTTCCGACCTCCATCGCCCAAATATGATCCTATGACCTCTATCGCTTGACTACAATCCTTCCAAACGCCTTCGTATGGCTATGATCCCTCCAGCATATGTTACTTGACTACGATTCCTCTAACATCCTAAGCTCGATTATAGTCTCTTCGACCTCAGTTGTCTGATTATGATCACTCTATCCTCCCAAGCCTGATTATGGTCCCTTTGACCTCCTAAGTCTGAGTACGATCCGTAAACCATCATCACCCTACTACAGTCTTTTCAACCTCCATTGCCTACTGACTACAATCCTAAGACCTCATCCCATCGCCTGACAATAGTCCCTCCAACCTCAATTGTCTGACTACGACCCCTCCGACCATTGTCACACGACTGAGTTCCCTTTAACATCCATCTCTAGACTACTATCCTTAGATCTCTATCGCCTGCCGACTATGGTCCTCAAACCACCATTGCCTGACTACGATCTTGCCGACCAAACAAACAAACCAAATGCAATAAACCATATTTTAACTTCGTTAAAAAGTCATTATAACTCCAATTTGTAAATAGTTTTCACCGTAATATAAATATTATTGTGATTTAATTATTATATTTTTTTTTATGATTTTATGGGCAGTGTAGATATGAACAGAAGAAGTTTCTTATTTATTTATATATTTTTTTAAAGAATTTGACACATGTTGGTACAAGTGAGTTTTTGGAACCGTTAGATATTCATTTTACAAACTGATTCCATCATATAATTTTAGATATGCTTAGCTAATTTATGAATATATTTTATAATTTTGGAATCCATGAATTTTGAAGATACAAAAGGATTTTATAAAATTTGCACTAAAAACTAAAGTATTACCATAATTACCAAAATACCCTTATATTAATTTATAAAAAAATATAGCTCCAATTAACATAAGTTATTAAATGGCCTTATCCCTTTCATTTTTCTTAGGCCCGAGGAGAATAAAATGAAATTAATGGAAAAGAGAGGAGATGAGAGAAAAAGTTTGGTTTGGAGGACTCGAGGTCGTTTTTGTTGGTTAGTCTAATTAAAAAAAAATTGCTCATCTCAAGGTAACTTACCATTGTCCTACCTCTGATTTTAATGATTTTGTGCATTTTGTTGTTTATAAATTTTAAATTTGTCAAAATTAATAAAAGTTACGATATCTCAATTTTTAGTAAACTTCTATCGTATAATTTTTATTATGCATAATTTCAATCATTCTGCATATATTGACAATAGTATATTAAATTTTCACTGAATATATATTTTTTACTTTTGGGAAAATGTCATAAATTGAGAATTTTAGATAAATAATTGTCAAACTATCAATTATATTAGTGTATGACATGCATAATTATTTCAATCCAACTATTGTGAGTACATACATGCAAAAAAGAGCACACTATATTTTTTTTATGAATTCTATTATTCTTGATTTACATGCAAATTTTATATGCATTAAAATGATAGAATAAGTTAAGCATTGAGTAGGATATTGTATATCTTTCTTGTTATACATTGTGTGAAATGTGTATATACAGTAAAGGCTAGCCAGAAATGATTGACTGAATTAGAATTGATTGGAGACATGTTACCTCGTATAGGAGGGTAGGCCGACAGACTTTCCTTTAAAATGAGATTTATGATGTAATCCTAAATGGTTTGAAAATAGAGGCATAATGAGACAGATTGTTATGATATGATATGCAAATGTGCAAGAAGTGATGACTTTTAATATGAAAGTAATCTAACCCAAATAAAATGTGATATGAATGAATCTTGTAAATAGAAATGATATGATTGAGCATATTTATGTAGCGTTGGCTTATAGGACTGAATACAAGAAAACACCACAGACAGTCAGATGTCCTATCTTGCTTACATTGATTTCATTACTTGTATATGCATATGATAGGAGTATATATGATAGATTGCATAAACAATATGACATGACATGACTGATACAATATATCATAAGATGGATCATTGATTATGAATTACATCAAACTATATAATACATACAAATTATACAACATAACATGGACATTGTATGGTATGAATATGAATATGAATATGAATATGAATATGACATGTATACATATTTTTTGAATTGAGATAGATAGAAACAATTCTATAACTAATGGGTATAGAAATGATATAGTTTACTGATCCCTTGTGTATGGTTATCGATTATTAATCACAACTCTTAAGATATACAATTATATTGAAGTTTACTGATCATATGACCGATTAATATTTTATTAATTGTCACATACTTTTTATAGCTATATATTCATATTGATAGTTATTGAATGATTATATGCAGATTGTTTCTAATGTTTTTCATTGATTTCAATTATAGTTTCTAGTAACCTACTAAGCTACTAGCTTACTCTATTATTTTACATGTTTTCAAGAAGATGCTAGGTTCCAGGAATTTAGGTTTTATTTTTATTTTTATATTTTCTTTTGTTTTATTATTTTGTAGTTAAAAGCTAAAAGATAAATTGAAAAATGTATGAATTGAACTCCTGACTATTGTACAAGAATTTTGAGAGATGAATATATTTTTATATTTTGATGTATACAATTTTTAGTTGTTTCTGTTGGATTGATTTATATTGATGAATTCATAAAAACTCTAATTGATTAATTAAGAGATTAAAATAAATTATTCTTCTAAAATTTGATCTTAGGGTGTTACACCAAAGGTCTCTTAAGATTAGCTCTCACCCGATTGAATTCTTCCAACTCAAACTATGTAATGTTCTCTATAAGATGTATATTTACTACATAGTAACGACTTCTTCGAATGAGGAAGGGCATCATTTGTAATCAATGACAAACACCAGTGAAATTATTTAAATTGGGCGAGACCCGTGAATCTTTATTAATTTTTAGAGCTTTTTACATAAAAATTTTGATGCCTCCTATGACTCTTGCACCCTCTCTTTTATTTGTATGTGTGTTGAATCTTCATTTAAAGCTAAAGACATTAAGCAGTTTATCTCTCTACCGCTACGAATCATTTGACACACAAGTCCTGAAATAATTTAATTTATTTTTAGATAAATTTAATATTTAAAAAACAATTGAAAGTTTGGGTGGGCTAAGTCCATAATTGATTATGGTGGACCGACTAATTGGGCCTTTATCCACATGATATGGCGCCATATCAACATCAGCCAGGCTTCAGCCTGAGTTGAACAATTAATGCATGGAGTTGATTTAGTTCGTTCTGATTAGATCAGACCAAATCACATTCATCTGGTTCACAATTCTTGAAAAGAACAACAACCAATGCATGAACATTAATGGACACAAATTGTCTTACTGTTCATTGTAATTACAATACATAAATATATACAGGAATGTCAATAATTTGCGGAATCTAAAATTTTAAAACAATCCTTCGAAAATTCTAAAAACTCACGGTCTATTTGGGACGACTGCAACATTTTCTAAAGTTGATTGTGAAGTAGCTGCGGAGAAAGCGACTTCGTTATTATAATTATAAAAAACAGTTTTCCATCACAAAAAATTTTAAAATACGATGATAAAACAACAAGAAAGTAATACGCAAACAAAATTATAGCTATTGTCTAAAAAGCAAAGCACTCAAAAAACTATCTCAAGCAGACACTCAGTTTGACGTATTTACCGCCCTACTTATGCAATGACAGATTGCAATCTTTGGGTCAATTTTAATTTATGTGTATGAGGTTTAAATTTTAAATTTACAATAGTTGTTTATGAACAGTCTAAAGGAAAAAAGATAACTGTTCTGATCTCCTATGAAAACAAAGGAAGAAAACCTAATCCAAATGAGCTAAGCTATTGCTGCGATGACAGCATACTACAGAGAAATTGATGCCTTCCAAGAAATGGCAAAGGAGAGTCAATTACCCAATGAAACAAATTTCAAAGAAGAAAATTAATCAACAACTCTTCTTTTGTGATTTGATGTCAGTCTATTTTGGCTCCTTGTTGTTTAAGAAAAAAGTCTTCTTGCTTCTTTCCTATCCTTTCTGTTCTTATGAATCAAATAATGGAGTAAGAAAATTATTTAGATAACTCAAAAAAGTACATTTTGTGTTCCCTGCAAGTTAAGTTAAATGAGTTTTCTAATACATGAAGCCAAGAACAAGCTATAAGCCATATAGCAAACAGGAATAATGAATTAAGTACACCTTAGATCATCTACAATAATATTTCAAAATGTAGTAATTCATCTCCAACCGAACTCTATTTCTGAACACACACAAAAATATTTCATTTATATTCTTTCTCAACCATAAGCACTAGCCTTTCTCCCCTCCGCTTTCTCTGTTTCGAACGAGAGAATGGCACGCCATTTGCTGTTCGCGTTTGATTGGAGAAGTTCGCGGATGTCAAACAAGGGTATGAAGTTCGGTTGAAGATGTCCTTAGAGAGTCGGCTCAAAATAGTACAGAAAAAAAACAAGAGGTTCTCTGGATTTTAGGATTAAGTACATTTGGAATTCGGTTTCTAGATTATGGATAACAGGAGAAGTCTTCCAATTTGTTTTTGACAGCAAGATAATGGAAGTGCCTAAAGCTTTAAACAAGCGATTCCAAAAGAATAATAGCATGCTGCATATTAATAATAAAGAATTCCCAAAATAAATAAATAAATAAATAAATTTAATGATATACTTACAAATGTTGAAGTGAATACATAATAATGTCTGTCTGGAAACTTCTCACGACTCTTAATTCTCTTTTCAACTCTCAGTATGAAGCTCAGAACCCCAGTATGACTCACTTGCCAGAAAGCTAGCCACATACAAACAATCAAAGAGAAATAATACATGTATCGAAGCTTTTGGCTGGAAAACATAAATGAATAATGTGACCCGTAGATTTTTTTCCCCTCCATTCAAAATCGCTGACATGTATTTCTGTTAGAAATCTTCAACTGATTTAGCATACTTTACAGTCAAAGCGAGAAGAGATCTTATTAAAAAACTTATGTTCAGAAATATCTTGTAGCAAATTTAAGAAGCTGAGATTATTAGCTATTCTCTGATGTCCCATAGAGGAATGATGAAGTGCATGATGAGGTCAATGCGTAGGGGATGTTAGACATAGGTCCCTGCTCTTGAGTCAGTTCATGAATGTCTTTGACAATGTCAAAGACTGCCTCTGGCTGAGCCAATTTCAGGGCACATTCAGACATCTTTTTGAGTTCAGTAGAGTCGGGTCCGAACCACCGAGCAACCAGTTTTGCAGTCTGTTTGGAGCTTTTGCAGAATACCCCAGCGCCATTGTCCACCACATAAGGCACATTGCCAACTTCCTGAATCATGTATCAAGACTAATGAGGACATTCTTCTATTAGAAATCAACTTCAAGAAGCATAACCGAAAGATTTAAACGAGAATTTTACTTTTACCAGGACACAATAGAGAAAAAGGATTCATATAGCCGACCCCACGTAGTGGGAGAAAAGCTTGATGTTGTTGTTGTTGTTGTTGTGCTTCGTCTTACTTAAACATTCATTTAAATTGATTTAATATAGTATTCATCCAACTTCCAAACTATTCATTCCATCTACCTACATAATGTACAAGCTCTTTGTGGTCTAATAAATCAGTAATATCATCAAAAACAACTTTCAAAACATTGGAAAGCTTATAACAAGTGGGGTGGGCGTCGCTTTTGTAATAAACTTCTATCTTATTGCTTTAAAGCTTTTTATGTTTTAGAATGATTAATTTATATATAGGAGATATGATGGAGCCATAGTGTGTGAGTTAATTTAACCAAGGGTGAAAGTATGATCAAACATACAAACCTGTCCGGGAATGAAGTCATTGAGGATTATCGGGAGTCCCCTAATCAAAGCCTCAGCAATAGTTCCAGGTCCAGCCTATTACAATAGAGAATATCAATAGACTCAGGAATATGATGATCACTCATATAATAATACATATGAACAAATGTTATATACCTGCCTTGGACTTCCAAAGTAAAGTTTTAAGGTTCAAATCTAAAAAAAAGGAAGAATATATATAACATACCTTGGTTATAATACAGTCACAAGCCCCCATCCATTTCTCCATCTGGGTTTCAAATTCCCTAATCTGCAGCAAATGCAAGTTAGGATACTTTTAAAAGCAAATCCATCTAAGCATCTAAGCTAGAAGTTTGCCTGGCAAAGATTCATACCTTCACAGGGATTTTCCACTGAAGCGATTGAAGAGTGGAGCTTAGAGTTTTATTCCTTCCACAGATAACAACAAGCTGTCCTATAGATTTGCCTTCGGAGGCATCATAAAGCGATTCTGCGAGGGCCTTTGCAGTCTTCTTGACTGGACCCATCCCCTCACCACCACCCATCAGCAACACAGCTGGAAGATCAGGGTCCATCTCAAGCTCTACCCTCAGGTCATCCTATACATCATTTAAGGTTTGATATTGTGAAATCTTGCGTGAGAGGAAGAACCACTTCCTCTTCTTGATCTCAAGAGAGGAGGGAAAGGGAAGGGGAAAGGGAGAGAGCAGAATTCAAAACTTTATTGCTTGACTATCCCTATTACAGCCTATAAGGCCTCTATATATAAGCAAAAAAGCAACATAATAAGCTACACAGCGACTTACAAACATAAAACTAGGACCACACAGACAAAAACCAGAACTGCATATTATGTGAATTATAGCAATTAACCTACCTTAGAGAGAACGGCTCTACAAAATGATGGCCTGATGGGCAGGCCAAATACACGTATCTGGGAGGGTTGGAGCCCATCAAGCGAAGCCCTCTTAGCTACTTCCTCAGATGGACAATAACACCTATTGACATTAGTGTGGAACCTGAAAGAAGCAAGAATCAACCATAACTTGAAATTTTCTGATCAAGACATTCAATTCTTAGAGAAACCAAAAGAAGCTAATTGGTTATTACCATGTGGGATGGCAGGTGTTTAGGTCAGTAATTACTGTAACGAAAATAACTCTATTATGGAGGTTTTGCCATTTGAGCACCCATAGAGGAATATGCTGCATGAGAGGATGAACGCTTATGATGACATCTGGCTTGTACTTCTTAATTCCTGCTTCCACCTTCCTTCATCCACAAATGCAAAGAAGTATAAGAAATCAAAAAAGGATAACCAGGTGATTCTCCACAAATCAATTCAAATTCAAACTCCAAACCCTCTCCATAGTGGCAAATTATTACGTGCGGTGTCCAAACCATCCGGAGGCGAATCCGGATGCGCCACATCACCCGGATGCACAGGGGTGGGGTGACGTGGCGCGTCTGGATTCGCCTCCGGACGAATCCGGACGCCGTAATAATTTGCTATGAAACCCAAAAAAACATGGTAGCTTTCCACCTAGAATGAACCATGAAGCCATGACGAAAGTAATATAATATTGATTAATCATTCTCGAATTAGGATGTGCATATTGTCCTTTTGATAGCAGTTAACACACCAGGCTGATTTTTTTGAGCTTTTCAGAATCAAAGAGGAATATAAATGAGCAGAGAGAAAATTACTTGGCATAGAATGCAGCAATGGCAGCTAGGTATAAGCAATGTACCCAACGAGGATAAGTGCTGAGGAACGCTACCCTCCATAGCTGAACATGCTTCACCATGAACTTGTATGATCTCTCCATGTTGTTCAATGGCCACCCTGCACTTTCCTTGCACACATCTTTCACAAACACCTGCGAATTTTTACAGAATCACCAACAAAGTCTGGTCCCAAGTACTGTATTCGAATAATAATAATAACCAAGTTTATATGGTATATAGAAAGGGAAATAAGTGGAGAGAGATACACAATAAATAGTACATGACATGAGAAGGCTCCAGTTAAAAATTGGCTTTGCCTCCTTTTTTTAGTATCTTGTTCTTTTACTGTAAGGGAAAAAGGAGAATTGATGCAGCCCAACCCACCACATTGGCTGCGAGTTTATGTTAGTATGTGCTTAAGTTTACGATTAAATTTGTCAAAAATAATTAAAAAGAGAGCAAAACCATAATAAAAAGTAGGACTCATAAGTTAAATCAAAACTATTTAATCCATTTAATCTATTCTAATATTATCTGCATATGTACACATAAAAAAATTTAGTTGTTGATTTATTTTATTACTTAGTTTGAAAAAAATCTTAATTTAATTAATTACTTTAAAAAAATCCCTCTCTTCTTATTATTAAAAGGTTTAAATATATTTCAAAATTAATTTTAAACAAGAATGTAACTTATTTAAAGCATGGACAAATAAAAATATTAAAACTGTAAAAATTACATGCTTAATCAATACTAAAAAATATTTTAAATATTTTTTCCTCATAATTACTTTAAAGTATATGTTCTTTGAATAAACAAGAAAGGCTATCATCTTAGTGAGAGAGTTCCATATTAACGATAGGAGAAAAAAAAAATCACATTTATCTGATATGTTTAATATATCTAACAATACCTACATGTTAGAAACTTTTTAATTGCTTATTTTAAAGATATAAAGATAAAATTTAAAATATTTATATAGATTTACAGAATTATTTTATATTTAAAATTTTAATAAATTATTTCTTAACTAATTAAGAAAATGGGCAAAACATATGAAAAGAATAAAAAAAATAAATAAAAAATCATCATATTTTATGACTTTTGCAGTCTAAGTGGTATGTAAATAATTCATATGTCAAGATCAACAAAAACAATAACTTAAATAACAGTGAACCACATGATTATATATAGATACATACCTTACTAGCTTCACATCATTGGGTTTCTTTATCATATAAAAAAGTAAGGAACATAAATTTGTACTCTCAAACAATAAAATTTGATAAAAAAAAACAAAATATGCACAAAATAGTTAAATATTTCCAATATCACCTAGCTATAAAATTAGGTCCTTTTAAATAAAATAACTAATAAATATTAGATACATTTATGAGAAACAATATTATGGCAAATAAAAAGATAAAATGAAATTTCAAGACACGATTGATAAAATAACTCACAAATATTAATAATTGTATAAAAATTAAAGCTATGAAAAACATAAAATGAAATTCAAAAACACTCGTAATAAAATAACACACAAAATAGTAATAAAATAACTCATAAATAGTAATGTCTTTATAAGATAGACAGTAAATTTCTAAAACATCACTGATAAAATAAAGGGATATTTACATAGATATCATTTTATTTCATGTTATTTACATATCTAATATCTAAAACTTTAATATTAATTACATGCCTACCACCCATATTTTATGGGTGGTAGACATGTGATATTAAAGTTTATAGGATGATATGAGTGGTAAAAATGAAATATATGAGAGATATATTTGATGTTAAATTTTATATGAGTGACAGAAATATAATATTAAATTTTTTGGTGTTAGATATGTAAATAGCATGAAATAAAGTAGTATGTATGTAAATCCTCCTAAAATAAATTGCAAATATTATATACATTTATAAAGAAAAAAATATTAATGTAACAAAAAAAAAGTGAAATACTCAAAACACCCTTAATAAAATAACTCATAAATATCGGATATCTTTATATTATAAAGAAAATATTAGGTTATATGAAAAAGAAAGGAAAAATCCAAAAATACCCTTAATCAAATATCTCATAAATATTATATATATATCTTTAAAAATCATAATATTCAATGTCAAATTAGCATATTTAAACACATAAAATTTCATTTCATTCCAATAACTAATAACAAAATCATTTATTAATTATCAAATATAGTTACTTAATAAAACTTTTTATATAATTAATATATTTAAATAATAGATTTAATTTTTATTTGAGCAACAATATCGATGATATATTGTGGGTCCATTAGAAGTTTACTTATAAGAATCTTTATCTGGCTCTTTTGAGAGCAACCGAATTCTGAGGATTTTATTCCTCTCTTTGATTACATTTTGAACTCCCAAATATTGTAATTTTATTCCTTTTTTTTTTTTCATAGCTCTCCGATACTTAGAAAAGGTTTAAAAAAATTACCCGTAATTAGGAAAACCCTAGAATATAAGCGGAAGAACAAAATGCCATCAAAAGAATGGAGAGAGACCAACCTTGTACTCATCGCCAAATTCAAGGCGAAACGCGTCGCGTATTGCCTCAGCGGAGGCGCGATGGCCTCCTCCGGTATCACTCATGAGAATAAGCACATTCTTAGTACGCTCCGCACCCAACTCGACAAGTTCCACGGTCCCTTCCTCCTCTTCCCAAACTCCAAGTTCCTCGTCGTCGTCTAATCCCGCAGTCTCTCCCAGCTCGCCCGCGCCGACGCTCGGCAGCCGGAGCTTTCCGTGGGGCTTTCCATGGTAAGCCATCACGCTGTCGTAGACCACCTCACGAATCGACCTTCTCGGCGACTCCACCGACATCACCATCTTTTCCAGTCGCCGGAGAAACGAAGACGGAGGAGCTTCGGGATCAGATGGGCTTTATTTATTTTTTGTCTAGCTCCCTAGACTTTGGAGGAAGCGGAGAAGAAAAGACGGGAAGGGTTTTCTTTTATATTGAGAAGCCGTAGAAGAATGCGGACGCAGAGCTGGCGCCCCGATTTTTAGAAAGAGAATTGAGGTGGAGAGATGGTGACTAATTAGGAAAATGAACTGGTATTAGTTTGAATATTCGGGTATAATTCGGTGGGGCATCGGCCGCGGTATCTCCGGGTAATCTACCGACAGTTGTCACGGGTTGATCGTGTGGGGTCCTTCAGCTACAACTATATGATATTTTATATTGGATTTCTATAAACTTTAAAAAAAAAATTAGACAAAGAAAATTCAGTTAGTTCTGTGTGAGATCTATTGAGTTTATGAATTAGATTGTATTGTTGATTTATATTTCAATTTTAACAAGTAAATTTATTAGAGAGTTGTAGGGGGGCGCCTCTCACTATTTGAGGTTCAAGGGCTTTGCCCCCGAAATTTCTTTTTATTTATAGCGGTATAACACCTTAGCATATTACATTAAGGCCTAATTTGATAGCAGAAGGGGTTTTTGTGAGAAACGGTGGTTCCAATATTGACTTTTAGCATTGGAGAAGCAAAAATAAAAAGCTTCTCAAATCGGTAGGATAATGAAGGTTTGAAAAATACAGTTTTGTAAAAGATATGCATCCAAACAGCAACCGACATCTTTTTTCACATTTCATAACGGAAAAAGAATATAATTATGCCCAACCAAACCAAGCATAAAGCACTACAATGCTATATATTTATGCACTATAACATGTTCACATCGTACGACGCAACATAATGGTGCTATAGTTTGATTATGATAGAGAGGAAAGCGTTGTGGCGCTCCAGAGCCATCATTGAGGCTTTACAAGTTGAGTTGGAAACATAGCAAAGCTACCGCTGCATAGCGAGGATGGGAAATTGTATTTCTTGTTTTTTGTGTTTTAATTTGATGGGTAGCATCTTTTGGTGTATTTAAAAGTGTTTTTTTTTTTTTTTTTTTTTTGGTGTATTTAAAAGTGTTTTTTTGTCTATTTTAACTAAACAACAAAGAGATAAGTAAAGTGATATAAGAAGAAAGTGAGAGAGAAAGAGATGTATAATTTCTTCAATTTTCATTGTTAATTCTTCGTGTGTTGTTAATTCATAATTTTTCTCTGATTTAAAATTTTTTCACATTAAATATTGGTTTTCATTTTTGCTTTTTTTTTTTCTTGTTTGTTTAGTTGGATGATTTTATTTCCCAACATATTCTATTTAAATTTTAAACTCTTCGGATTTACTACAAAATAAAAATTAGTGATGACTAACTGATTAATATTATGTTTATCCCAAATTCAAATTTAATAATGATAGCCTCTTGATCGACAGTTTATAATATGGAAAACAAAAATCAAAGAAAAATTAACCTTGTTGTGTCCTGGAGTAGTCGTGGCGATATATAGAGAAGTATAAAGTTTAGCGTATTAACTTTGTACGAAAATCCGGCAAGCAATCATATAAGAGAGATAGTGTATTTTTTATGAGACATCAAGATTTTTACGTTGAAAACAACTGAAAAAGGGGAAAAAATCACGGGACCTAGTCCAGTTTGAATGAATCTACTATTATTTGCAGTTGATTACAAATGAGGTCCTTCCTTAGGAGGAATGTCTTTACTCGACGTACATTATATGAACTACATGGAGGGAATATAAAGAGTCAGTGCTTACATGTTCGTTTGGTCGGAAGGACCGTAGTCGATGGGCGTCATAAATCTGAAGGACCGTAGTTGGCGGGTGACGAAGGTTGGTAGGACCGTTGTATGACGACGGAGGTCAGAAGGAAAGCATCAGGTAGAAATCTAACGATGAGCGAAGGTTCGGTGTCGGGTAGAAGTCCGACGTTAGTTGGCGGCCGGGGAGAACTCCAACATTAGATAATATTATGGCAAAACTCTAGAGTCACTTTGAGATCGGATAGAATTCCAGTGTCACTTGGAGATCGGCCGGAGTTTTGGCGTCACTTGCAGATCAGGCAAAGTTTTGGCGTTACTCAAAATTAGGGCGGAATTCCGGCGTCACTAGAAATTGGGGTGGAACTCCGACGTCACTTGAAAGTCGGGCAGAACTCCGGCGTCAGTTGAAAGTCGGGCAGAATTCCAACGTCACTTGAAAGTCTGGCGGAACTCCGACTTCACTTGAAAGTCAGGCGAGACTCCAACGTCACTTGAAAGTCAGGCGAAACTCCGGCATCACTTGACAATCGGGCAAAACTTCTGCGTCACTTGAAAGTTGGGCGGAACTCCGGTGGTGGTCGAGGAGGAGTTTCTTCCATCCTCTTCTTCTCTTCTCTTCTTCTTCCTTGCTTCAGTCCCCTTCTCAAGAGAAATGAGAGATCTATTTATAGTTTTATGAGAGTGGCAAGGCCAGTAAATAGAAGGAAGATCAGTGGTGAATTGGGAGTGGTTTGAATAGACAATCGATGTTGAATCTCTTGATCGTGGACTGTTTATCAGGCATTTGAAGGCTCTAATGATATCGTAATTCGACGATCTTGGGCTTGTTGGATTCGTCTCGTCGAGCCGCTCGATTCTACTATAAGCATATCACGTTTGGAAATCATTTGACAATCCAAATTGTGATTTGAACCTTCTCAATCAGCTTCGGGCCTTCGATTTGGACTAATTTGGGTTCGAATTGAGTCGAATTTGGTGTCGTTGAGTTCGTATTTCTTAGACGTTCAGTTCCACTATAAGTTTGCTGAAATCGGAGTTAAGATGATCCCATATTTAATTTTTGAAGTTTCCAACTCGATTTTTTGCCTCGAGATTCGTGCTCGATCAAGATAATTTTTTGATGATATATCAAACCTACTTATCTTAAAATTTATTTATCTCTAATTTAGGAGAAAATAAAGTGAAAGAAGTAAAATTTTTACAATATCATAACGAAAATAAATTAATTGAAATAAAAATACGTGCAATTAATTAGTTTCTTTTTGTTTTAACTCTCGATTTTATTTTTCTGAAAACTTTCAATTAAAAAAATTGTAAAAAAAAGGGTAATCGCTAGTGCTGTGAATATAACATTTTGATAATGTTGAAATTTTAAATTATTTAATTTATTTTGAGATGAATATATATAAATTAATGAAACCATGCATTTCAGAAATCCTCAAATAAATTGAATAATTTTTCCGCCATGAACGGGTCTCGTTTCACGCATTTCATTCAGCTCCTCTTCATGCTGCACGCAGTTTCCAGCTCGCACTTTTGTACAGGACAAGCGCAGCTTTCCGGCCGCTTCTGTGCCCCTCGGCGCCACCGTTCTTGCATACCCCGCTGCTTCTCTTCGACGCCGTGTACCCTCGCCGCCGCTATTCCTTTCTGACCCCCATTCCGGCTTGGTTTCTCTTCAACCTTTCCCTGCTTTCCCTCTATCTCTCCAATTTCCATTCATGGCAGCAAAGCTCCCAGCTGTGAAAACGTTTCCACCTTCTTATTGCATCCAAAATCTCATCCCCATCTTCCCATCTCGCTATCTCTCCACCCAAACCTCCCTCTCCTCTTCACCTTCTTGTTCCTCCCCCAATCCCCAACCCCTCTTAACCAAATTTCTCCACCTCTTCCACCATAAAAAGTTCATTTCCGCCAAAAACACCCTCAGATCCTTCGCTTGCTTTGACGAAACTCACTCCTACCATTTCCCTTCCCTCGCTTCCTCCATTCTCAATTCATGCAACGACGCCGGCATCTCCCCATCCGAAGCTTTTGACATGCTGTTTCGCGTCTATTCGGACAACAACAACCTCGAAAGAGCACTCGCGACATTTGAATTCATGATGAAGACATTTGGCGCCGTTTCTAGTAGATCTTGCAGTGTCTATATCCAGGCCCTGAGGCGTTGCGGACGGATGAATTCAGCCGTCGAATTCTTCCAAAGGATACTTCAATCGGATGCCGTTGATGTGTCTGTGTACACAACCTCAATTTTAGTTGATGGTCTGTGTAAGAATGGTGAGGTTGAGGCTGCACGAAAGGTGCTCGATGAAATGCGTAAGAAAGGATTGCTGTGTAACATCTTCTCTTACAATTCATTGATTGAGGCTTACGGTAAAAGAGGAGATTTTGATTCATTGAACGAGGTTTTGGCCCTTGTTGAGGAGAATAAAATTGAACAAAATGCTGTTACATTTGCTGTTCTGATCGATGCATTTTCATCTCATGGGAAGTTAGAGAAGGCCGAAAAGGCCTTTGAAGAGGTGAGCAAAAGAGGATTGAATGTTGATATTTTCTTGTATACTTCAATGATTAATGCCTATTGCAGAGAAGGTATCATGAGGAAGGCATTCACTCTTTTTGATGAATGTGTTGAGAGAGGAATTCAGCCCACTGAGAAGACATATGGTACATTAATCAATGGGCTTTGCAAGGCCGGGCAGATCGAAGCAGCAGAGATATTACTAACTGAGATGCAGCAGAAGGGATTTGATGTGAATTTAGTAATCTTCAATACGCTTGTTGATGGATACTGCAAGAAAGGAATGATGAACAAAGCTCTTGAATTAAAAGAGGTGATTGAGAAGAAGGGGCTCGAGCTAGATATATACCTCTACAATACTATTGCTGCTGGGCTGTGCAGATCGAACCAGAATAAGGAAGCGGCGAAACTTCTAAATGCCATGATTGATAAAGGGATTGCTCCCAACACTGTGACCTACACAACGATGATCGACATACATTGCAAGGCAGGAGATTTGGTGGAAGCAAGGCGTTTGTTTGGAGAGATGGATGAAAAGGGACTGGAGCGTAATGTTGTTAGCTATAATGTAATGATTGATGGGTACTGCAAGAAAGGAAATGTAAGGGAAGCTGAGAGGTTGAAAAAGGAGATGGAGAAAAGATGGATTTTGGCAGATGTTTACACATATACATCATTGATTCACGGGAATTGCATTACTGGGAAGGTGGATGTAGGGATGGAGTTGTTTGAGGAGATGAAGCAGAGAGGTATAGTTGCAAATGTTGTGGCATATACAGCACTGATATCAGGGTTGTCAAAACAAGGAAGATCGGATGAGGCGCTTAGATTATATGATAAGATGTTGGAGATAGGACTGGTCCCAGATGATTCAGTCTATTCAGCTATTGTGGGCAGCTTTCATAGCACAAATCAAACTTGTTCATATTCTCTGATTGCCAAGTGAGCTGATTTAAGGTCTTTTTGGTCGTTTGCATTTGTAAGGTACCACATTTCAGTTTTTTAGGGATTTGAAGTAACCAAAATCTTTGTTTTTACTGCATTTGAAAATTGTTCAGATTGAGCAATTACAAAATCCCTATGACATTTCTAAAATAAATGTATTTTAAAAATATTCAATCATACAACTCCTTTAACATTTGATGTGAGTTATGCTATGTTTGTCATATATTAGTCTAACTTGTAAATTACTCCTATATGATTGTTCATTGTCTAAGAATAGGTGCACAGAATGGCTCAAACATGTGGAGGAATCATCCTCTTTTTGACCTTTTTGCTTTATGGTAAAAGTGGCATTCTTTTGAAAAAGTTGGGGCATATTTATTTTTATTCAGAAGCCTTCCAGAAATCTTTGAATGGGTTCTTGGGTTAGAATAATTAAATATATTAATTATGTGAGACGTAGCAATAATTATTTAAGTATATATATTTAATTATATAAACCATTAAGTGACCCATATATTTGAATTATTGAAATTTAATTATTTATATGAAATCCTATTGGTTCAAAAGAGATAATTTGAGCAATCCTTTATAGATCGTTTGATCAAATAACTCATATGAGTGGTTATTATAACTAATTCGTAGGAAATACCTACCGGTCATCTCTCTCTCATAATGAGGAGTTATTTTGTTTTATAGAGAATTAACTCATGAAAGAAGAAAGTGAAAGAGAAAAGAGAGATAAATCGTAGTTTGGAATTCAACGAATTCAAAATGAATCAATGTATGTTTTCTTCCGATTAAAAGCTTGTGAAAATCATCTTGTTTAAGATCTTGTGGATTTAAGATTTATGTAAAATTCATGTTTTTTGTTTCGATTTCTTTTACATTATTTATGATGCGAGTTCTTGCAAGAGTTATAACTCATAATGTATGTTGCGAGTTTTTGTAAAAGTTAAAGAACTTATTCTTATAGAAAGTTCTTGTAAGAAATTTGAGAAATCTTAATCTTACACTTTGATTACAATTTCCAATGAAAGAAATAAGGAGCTATAGGTAACTGTTTGACTGTTGTAGTACTAATCATTTGTTCTGTTAGAAGTGCTTGGTGGCAAGCTACTCTCTAGGCCACTTCTGTGGGATAGCTTTTATGAAATGTTCAGTTTAGGCTCCAGTTGACGATGTTTTGGGCTGTTTGATTACTTATTTGAGAACAATTGAGGTTTTGTTTGTTTTTTTGGTGCTTTTGTAAAAGACAATTTTAAAAAATATTAGTTCAGAAAATAGAGTTTTTTAATGGAGAAGCATATATAAAAAGCTTTTTCAAAATTGTAGAAAAATAAAAAAAAGGAGTTATTGGGAACGTGATTTGACGAACCAAAAAAAAAAAAAAAATCCTCCGTTTCCAAGCGGAAAAGACAAAAAAATGCTCAAACAAACAAAGCCTGAATAGGTTTGTATATTAGTTAAGTGGCGTGCTATCTGCTATGAAAAAACCCTCAGGGGCTGTTTGGCAACAAGTGGATTTAGTAAATCCTGTAAATCCGGATTTAGTAAATCCAAATTGTGTTAAATCCTGAAAACTGTTTGGTATGTCAAATGATAAATTCTGTTAAATCCTGAGAAACTATTTGGTAACATATATCAGGATTTATGACAGTTAAGATTATAATTTAAAGAATATATTTATAAAATTAAGATTATTGCATAAAATATAATATAACCAACTTAAGTTCATACAATATTATAAAAAAATCAATAAAGAGCAAATGACAAACTAATATTGACCAAAATGACGGATGAAATATTAAATAAGAGAATGCTTTAAATTTTTAGTTGACTTCATATATATTTTTTGGGAGATAATTTTTTTTTTATCATGATTAATTTCTTTGACTTGCAATCTAAAATAAAATACCTGTTAAATACAAGTTACTTATTAATTATTATTTACACTATCAATTATATATTTAATTATATATTTAGACTATTAATTATTTAATTAATTTACTTAATTATTAATATTTTGAATTATATTTTAATTAAGTTAATCAATAATAACGTAGACCGTCTAGGGTTTGCCTTTCATTTCTCTGTTCGGCTTCGTTGCTGTTCGGCTTCGTTGCTTCGCAGGAGGTGTAGAGATTGCACGCGTCGCTTCTTCAGTTCCTTCGCGGCTGTTCTCCTTCGACGGCTTTCCCTTCCTGTCGGATCGGAAGTTACGACATTTTGATCGGTAGCAACAACGGGAGCTTGCTGGCTGTGAAGGTAACTTTCTACCTTTCGCGCGCTTCTTCGGCCAAATCCCATAAATCCGCCGAACCGAGGGATTTAGTATATCCGGGATTTAAGCCGTAAATCCGTAAATCCGGGATTTATCCAGTCCTGGGATTTAACGCGTGCACAAAAACCGATTGGCTGGATTTAGCGTAAATCCGACTTAAATCCCACGATAAATCCGATACCAAACAGCCCCTCAGAGTAAGGAAAGGCAGAGCATTTTGTGGAAGAGTACTCTTGTTTATGTTGGCAGGTGAAAGGTTGACAGCTGGAAACAAAAATCCTATAAATTAACTCGATTGACGCAACCTAATTACTTGATTAAGCTAGTTGAAGGATTCTCATGGATTAGTCTTAAAACTGAATTTCATTTGATGCCACTGAAGGGTTGCTGTATTTTTTTCCGCAGGTATGGCACAGTGGCTGCTCCAAACCGAACAATGGCTCCGACAGGTCGAGCAGTGGGTTCGACAGCAGCCAGCTGAACAACTGTACATAGCCATTGCTGTTGTGGTCGTAGCATCAACTTTACTTATCATATGTATGATGCTCCCCATTAGACTTATCTTTTGCTTATGATTTTATATTCTTCCTCAGATATTACACTGCTGCTAGAGTGCTAGTCAACTTGCATTTCTAGAAAACTTGTATCGAAGTTTCATTCCAGTTTGCCAAGATTTGTTATCCAGTAGGTCATTAGTTATGCCAGAATATTAGGTTTCTCCTATATTTCTTTTAACTTGTTTTGGTATTAAACTGATGCAAAGATAGTTAATTTTCTTCAACCATCATTGCTATTGTGTTAGTTTTGAGTTATCACGCTGCCCATGGCATTATTTTTTTAATTATTTTCAACAAATTTCATGATTTTTGCTTCAGTTTTATGATTGGTTGTCAAAAACTTAAGTAAGTTATGCCTTTTGTTTGACCCTTGTAGTTGTTATGTGGATATCTGCAAATATTTGACCACCTTTATTTGTGCTGCTTTGCTGCTAGCCTGCTATCATCTATGAACAATTTAATATCTAATTTTCCATGGTCTGGATATGTAACACCCTTAATTCTCATTGCAGTATGCTTTGCTATTGTAAGATGCTAATCTGAACCATTACTTTAAACATCTCTAAGTTCATCGACAGAGAGAAAGGTGGTGTAATCTGCTAATCAACAGCATTTCTTTAAAGACTTCTAAGCTTATCAAATTTAAGTGAGGGAGGTAGGGAGGGGTAATTGCATGTTATTTATTATTTCTTCAAATCTTGTAGTAGGCAGGGAGGAAGAGAGTGCAAACTTGGGAAAGATGAACAAATTTCAATTATTTGTTTATGCCTTTTTCATTTCACGTCTTTTAAATTGTTTGAGAATTTTCTTTCATATCTTGTTTTTGGCAGAACTTAAGAGAGGATTTGGCATAAGTGCTTTTGGGTGAATCCTGTTTTAAAGCTTATAATTTAGATGTTGAATTTGACATTTATTTTCTTGATGGTAGTTGACTATTGACAATATTGAAATTTTGTACAGTGCATAGTGTTAACCGTTCCAAGGCTAATACTATTATAATTGCTGGGTTAAGTGGCTCCGGAAAAACCATTCTTTTCTATCAGGTATTCCTTTTCATTTTAAGCTCTGTGAGGTTGCCATTCTCTCTAGATGTATGAGGATGAAGAATTAAATAGAAAAATGCTTAATGCACATTTGCCCTCGAATATTATTTGATCATTTTTTTTAATGATTGGACATAGTCCTATTCCCAATGGATTTTCTTCTTGTCACTTTAATTATCTTCAGTCAAGATTTATGATTATTTTAATGACTGTAATCTATTACACATTAATGCACAATGCTTCATTTCAAGGTTTAAATGATTTTTTTTTGACAGGCACACAGCTTTGCCTTGGTGCAAAACTATTCTACACAAACGATGCTGTGAAATATTTTAATGTTATATTGTAACCATGAAAAATATATTATATAAATTCTATTTAGAGGTGAAAAGTCTTTTAATTTCAGTAAATGCGGTGGCAAAATGGGATATCTTGTCCTTCCACCAAGATATTCTTAAATCGCTTTCCCACTTTATTTATGCTAGTTGTTGATGATAGAAACACACTAATGATGGTGATAACAGTGCTTGAAAAATGTTCATTTTAGCTTCCTCGATCTCACTGCATTTTAACTTTTTGGCCATCATATTGTGTGTTTTATTGTAGCTTCGTGATGGGTCCTCTCATCAAGGCACTGTTACATCGATGGAACCAAATGATGGCGTGTTTGTGTTGCATTCTGAAGTAGATAAGGTAAACTTGTGATCTCTAAATGGAATTAATATATGATATCAAATATATATTTTGTCTTCAAATTCAATAATATTGGGGATAAAGCTCAGCTAAAGATAAAGAATTGTACTTGTTAAGTTTATGACGCTAAGCTACTATTGTTTTGTGACAGAAGGACAAAACAAAGCCAGTTCGTATGGTTGATGTTCCTGGGCATTCCCGTCTTAGACCAAAGCTTGATGAGTTCTTGCCTCAAGCAGCTGGCCTTATTTTTGTTGTGGATGCTTTAGATTTCTTACCAAACGTTCGAGTCGTGGCAGAGTAAGTCACAAACCTCAGCTTAAGAAATGACATTTTATAAAAGGCTCGAGAAATTTTACTAGTCTAATTGCTGCTTATGTGCAGATTTTTCTTTATTTATTTTGGATATGTTGGACCAGTCTTAATGTTTTGCATCTTATGAGAACCATTTCAAAGCATTCAACTTTCTTGGTACTAATAAATAACAACTAATCAATATGCTAGCTTTTTGCCTTTCTTGTTCAGTAGCTTTGCATTAATAAATCCAAAAGGCTTCAGGTTGCCTTATATTGTCATAGAATATTCTATTATAATGTAATGGAAATAATCTTAATACTTTGCAATTTGCATTTAAGAATTCTGTCTACGAATGAATATTCTTAAAACATATTATCGTTATTTATAACAGATATCTCTATGATATTCTAACGAAGGCAAGTATTGTAAAGAAGAAAATTCCTGTTCTCATATTGTGCAACAAAAGTGATAAGGTGACGGCTCACTCCAAAGAGTTCATCAGGAAACAACTGGAGAAGGAAATGTAAGACCATTATTTTCCTTAATGGTTTCAATAAGTGTGCGTTGAAATTTTTTAATGTTTCACCGTCCTTTGCTACCTTGTTATTATCTGAAATACTACATGCTTTCTGTTTTATCAGATTGTTCAACAGTAAATTGGAGGTTGTGGGAAAGTTTTTTTACTTCACAATATTATTTTAATATTTATCCTATCAATTTGTGCTGTACATGCTGTGTTAAACAAGAATCATACGTTCTTATTATTTGATATTGACATTGTACTGTAATAAGTTCACAGTCATCATCCAAACTATAATATTTTAGATCAATGTTTTTAAAGTGCTAAGAGCAATGCGACGCGGAAAGTTTATTCTATTGCTTTAATGTATAAAATGCAAAGCAGAGTGGTGCTTTTATGAAGTTGAGTTTTCATGAATTATAAATCATTTATGCATACATTATGTACATACAAGTCATTTAATCAACCAAACATATTCAAATAACGTAATAATTTTAGCAACTATAATGATATATTAAATATAAACAATTTAAATTGATAAAAAATTTAAAATAAATAGTACTTGTAAGATTCAACGACAAACTAGAGAACAGGAGGAGAAGTAGCGTGAAGCGAGAGTGTAAATATGAGGCATTGAGAATTAAAAACTTGTGAGCAAAAAATTCCTAATGCTAGTAGCAATAACTAACAAAAAGCACATAAACAAACTAGCGGGCGAGAGGACTTGGTGAGAACCACCAACAAGAAATGAATAGTTATAGCAAGGGAGAATAGAGAACCAATCAGCAATGACTCAATTTCTCTAAGAAATAGTGAGAAGTAAATATGTGTGTTGTTATTATTGACATATGTTAAACCGACATATGAAGTTTGAACCAGTAATTTGTTATGATTCTAAATTGAGCGCACAATGCTACAACATGATTAGACTAAACGAAAAAGTGGTGCTACATGCACGATTTGCTACAAGCTTGCACTTAAGAAGCAAGCCATCCTCGTGGCCGGCATGCCGCTTTTCCTCACTCTTAAAGTGTATTTTTAACAACACTTTCAAATTTAACCCAATAAATTGGAATGATCCAAAATTAGTAGTTTATGATGTATTTGAGCATGGATAAATATTTGAATGCCTTGTTGTGAACACACAAAGCTTAAATGGATTTACTTTGAAGCATGGAGCTCAGAGTTAGATTTATGTATCTATATTGGATAGTTGCACTATTTTCATGACATTTTTATTTTTTTCCTAGGTTAAGCAAAGTTCCACATTGATTACAAACTTGTGGCAAGCCAATAAACATTCTGTTCTACCATAATTTTCATGTTCAAAATATTGGATTGCGTTCATAAAGGTCGTAGATTGTTTTGGAATCATATAGAGTATTCTGTAGTTGTATGTAATGTACTCATGCGTGTAGCATTTTTTACAATATTACAAAAAGGTTCAAAGTGTAGAAATCTAAAGCCATATGGAGAATAACATCACAGCATTGTTGTATTACTTGTCTGCACGATACATGTGGAAGTAGCCATGGGGATATGCAAGACAAGTTCGAGGACATGTTTGTAGGTATGATGGTTATTGAGTCTGAGTTTTTTTTTTTTTTTTTTGATTGAGTCTGAGTTGGAGGAGCTACATGGGAAGATTTAGGGCATTATGTATATGGAAGACAATAGCTTGTGGAGTCCAAATGCAAGGAGATAAGGGAACTCAAGGAAGAAAACATTTGCGTTGGAGGCAATATGATTGTGGTGATCCTGCATAGCCTGATATACGGTTGGACATCTTTAAGATAAAAAGAGTTAAAAGGTGCAAGGGTAGGCATAGTGGTGGGAAATTTCTTGTGGAGCATGGAGCATTGCTTCCATGCATCAAGGATTATGGATGGAACACTTAGCATAAGCATTACATCTATAGTTTTCGATTTTGGCCTTATCGTGGTGGTGATTGGTGTTTCAAGGCGCTTCACAATGTAAGAAGATTTCTAAGGAAAATACCTTCTGTAGTTTTACCTCAAGAATGTGAAGGATGAGGTGCAGACTTAGCTCAGACTTAGCTTTTTCGGTTGGAGCATAAGGGTGTCATCCACAAATATTTGAAGTAGTTTTTAAAGTGGCATAAGGGTGTTATCCACAAATATTTGAAGTAGTTTTTAAAGTTGCCACTCTAGTTTCAATTGAGGGATGGGCTTCATGGCCCAAGTTTGAGTAGTAGAGGGCATTCAAGAGCTATCAAAGGCCATGAGATTGACCGCGCGTTCTCACTCAACCCCATAACTTGTTAACGGCGAATGGCGCGCCATGGCGCAAAGGTCCTATTTGAGCCATGACGCATGATGCACGGCGCGGCGCGCGCCATTTTGAACATGTCGCAAGTTATAAAAAAATTATAAAATAATAAGCATGAATATGAAATATCATTAAATTGAAAGATAAACTATCATAATAACAATCAAACAATGACAATACAAATAAATAATAATCCAACATAATTTCAAGTCCAATAAGTAGTCAATCTTCATACAACTAAAATATATTTAAATGAAAGCAAATAGCATTAAGAAGATAATAATATGCAATCTAACATTTATCTTAATACCTTTAATATATTTAAAAATCATAAAATATATTATCTTAAAAAAAAATAAATATAAAAAATATTTATAATTACATTTAAAAAAAATAAATGGCACGCGCTATTTTGCGCCGTGCGCCATGCGCCATGGCGCGCATGTGGCGCAAATAGCGCGCGCCATTTTGAACGTTTGCGCCGCACCATACTCATGGCGCCGTAGGTGCGACGCACCGCGCCGTGCGCCATGGCGCGCGCTATTTTGCGCCATTGACATCTATGCTCAACCCTGAAAAATCTAAGTTAGCAGATCGATTCGGGTCAACCGTTCCGATGGGTTGGGTCCGGATCTGAAGTTTTGACCCGTTTACAAAGCTCGGTCGGGTTAGGGTCAACCCGAGTCAATTTAGGGTTCGACCCAAACCTGCATCGTTGACCCATTTTGACACCCCTATGTGTGAGTGCTTAGGTTGATGAGAAATATTGATTAAGAATGAGGTGAGTCGGTAACTAGATGTAACAATTTAGCAATTCTTAGAACATATCAAGTAATTTCATGCTATGGTTTTGATGTGGGCCCCATAAGTTTAAGTTGGTAAGAATGCCTTTTATAGCGACTTGTGGCATTATATAAACCTAAGACATCATGAGGTTACTTGGTGTTTGGAATCTTGAAGAGAGTTCAATGTGTGTAGAGTTTTGTGAGGGTATTGTAGAAAGGTCCGAGTGTAGAAACTTTTAGAGCCATTTAGACAATTAATGTAGTGTGGGCTTACATATGTAATTTACATGAATCCCACTAGATGTGAGAGCTAGTAAGAGTTCTTGAATTTCTTTCATGTCTTGTATTCTTTGAGTGAGTGTATGAAAATGTTGACTTTTCTTGCATGGTTGTGAGTGTGCAAGATTAGCTGAGCTTGTGACAAAAGCATCACGCATGTCAAGGGACAAAAAATTTAAAACACATGTTGCGAAGTAAGTAATTTGATGTTTAATTTTTATTTGGGGTGATGAGTAGTAAACACCACAATAACAAGACAAGCAAGAAAGTAAAAGCGGCGGAAAAGTAAATGACACCAAGATTTAACCTGGAAAAAGCCAATATAGGGAAAAAAACCATGAAGCCACACCACACCAAGAAATCCACTATGAAAATTGGAAGAGATAAGTACATATTTCTCTTCTCTCTGGCTCTCTCCTTGCTTCTCTTCTCACATGCATTGTTCTCAATGTCTACCAACTCAAAATACAAGAAAAAATCAAGTAAAATAATACCACGGGATGCAAATCTTCAGCAAAATGGGAAAGAAAACCTTCCAATCCATCTCGCAGCGCTGCGGTGGCAGTTTGAAGCATTGCAGCACTAGAACCTCTGTCTTAATCCGCTACAACACCGTTTCTATGCTACCGCGGCGCTCTCCTCTCTGTCGTTCATTGTCGGGGTGCTTGGGAACATAGCGTCAGAGCACTCGGGTATGTATTGTCGGGGCGCTTAGGTACACAAGGCTGAGGCGTTGTATGGGAGGAAAAAATTTTCGGGTGCAAAGCACCTAAACCCAAGCAAGTAAACACGAGAAGCTTTGAGGTCTGAGACAACAATATAACCAGATTGATCAATACAATCAGATTCCACACAACAATTTTTGTTGTGATCGGTACATGTTTTGGGATTTACTCTCAACAAGCTAAACTTCAGCTAATAATAAACAAGTATTAATCAGCTCTCATCATATTTTAATGGAATTAAAATATGATTGCTACTTGCATGAGAATCTCATTGAGGAATTTGTTTACTGTTTATCTTATTGGCCAAACTACTACGTTGAGTATAACATTGTTACAATTTTATGCTTGGCTGAGTTGAATCAGTGAAATTCAGTATTGAGTGACCTATGCTAAGTAGCACATCTCCTAACAAGCCGGACGTTCCGTTTGTTCTGGCCAAGTGCAATAGCATGCTCATTACCAGTCTCTAATATAAAACAAGTTTTATGGTCATCATTCAATAGTAGATCTATTCATAACCCCCCCAGGACATTTAGCAAATTTTTAATAAAAGTGTAAAATATCACCAACAGGGAGTTCAATAAATAAACAAATTTAGATTGTTCTCAGTCTTTTCCTTTTTTTTTTTGTTTGTGTGGGGGGTAGGTGCGGGAAACTTGCACATTAGCCTTAGTGGCTAGTTGTTCAACTGTGAAAAGCCCATTTCTTCTTTTTTATGGCTTTCACTTTGCCAGTTTCACCCGCTTAATTTGACTTGGAGCCTTGCGTTTTTCTGAATCTAGTGAGCTGTACAACATAACTAAAGGCCATGTACAATATTAACAAGACTACAAGAGTGAAGTACAATATTAACAACAGTGAAGCTATCACATTTTGCCAGATCACCCACTTTCTTGTTTGCTAGGCTGCCATGATCGTTTATTTGTGCGAACTATGTTGAGTTGGTTAGCCAACTTTAGAGATCAGAAAGAGTTTGAATGATTACATTAGGAGTGTTGGAAGGTGTGAGAGGTCAAATAAAAATAGATAACGTAAAAATAGCCACACATGCAAAAAGACGAGCTAAGTTTTAAAGCTAAATCTTCGTGAGAATCAATTATTTTTCTAGTTTCCATTTAAAATTTTGCTTGATGAAATGTTCTTCCGAGTATTTTAATATTGAACTGCACAATTCATGAAGATTTTGTTTTTTTTTTCCCTCTGTTGGCATTTAATTCTGCTTTTATTATTATCATAGCGACAAACTTCGGACTTCAAGGACCGCCATTTCCACTGCTGATGTCACCAACGAGTACACTCTTGGTGTGCCAGGAGAACTCTTCAGCTTCTCTCAGTGTCAGAATCAAGTGACAGTGGCTGAAGCCTCTGGCCTCACTGGTGAGGTATCTCATGTTGAACAGTTTATCCGAGAGCATGTCAAACCCTAAAGGACGAGAAATTATTATGCGCGGAGTCCGGATACGTCCGGACTCCAATAAAAATGTGACACCTGTCTTTGTACACAGTGTGTACAACTGTGCACACTATGCAAATTATATACATAGTGTGTACAAACTTATGTATATAATATACACACTATGCACAAATTTGTACGTAGTGTGTATAAGGACATATGTCGTGTTTTTATTGGAGTTTGGACGTAACTCTACGTCCAGACTCCGCACGTAATAATTTAAACTTTGTTTATCTATTACATTGCATATGTCCATGGCCTGAGCTTTTCTTTCGTTGTGATGGATTAATGATGATGCTTTTAAGCAACTGGCTGTATTTTTTTGTTATTTGAAACAATATAAAACCATCCATTCTACCTAGTTGGCTTACAATTTGTGTCCAAGCTAACTGGGTCGGCATTGGTGGCTCTATTTATTTGATTCTACGAAGTTTTGCAGATTTAATCTGGTTTGAGAAGAATTACTTCGTTAAAATTTTAAATTGTAATTGATTTTTGCTCACAGGAAATCAAGGAAAAATAATTTTGAATCTAAGAAATTCAATTTCCTGCGACTTATTTGCCTTTTTTTTCCTGCTGGTGTATATATAGGATTACTTTTATTAAATTGATGGAATAATTTATTCAGCTCAGTCAAAATTTTGCATGATGGTGAAGATAGAAGGTTATTCTATCTGCTTAAATGGATAATAGTCTCTTACTCTATTGTATATTTGTTTATATGCACAAATCAATCTTTATAAAGGCTATCCACCTTAGAATTTGAAGTTACAGAGTAGCAGTAGAGTAGGACGTAAAGTATAACCTTCCTATCAGGGCCTGCAATTGGTGAAATTGTTCTGTGCGGATATGAATAGCATCTGAAGGTGAATCAAAATGTGCCGAGTTGCTCATTTGCTGTGTATCGGGTGACGTGACTTGTTTTGATTGGTCTCCAGACCCGATTGAGTGTTGATAGAGGCAATTTAACCTAGAATTTACACCAAATACTCATATATTTGCAAATAAAATGATGCAGTGAAAACGCTTGAGGTGGAATATTTTTACGTAGAAAAAATAAATATTTTAACTATTTTCAGCATTTTCAACAAATACAGCTACTTGATTCAAAGAAAAAAATTATATTTCATGTATCAGATTATGTAATTCATAATTTATTTTTATCCATCTTTAAAAGAGGCCAAAATTGCTCTATCTAGAGTTCTAAAATTTTTTTTGGAGTTACTAAGAGGATGATCAGAGTTTATTTGCTCAATTTTTGAAAATGTTCAACTCATTTGAGGAGTCATCATAATGTATTCAATCTATGAATTAGTAATAAAATAAAATAAAAATCTATGAATTGGTAATATTCAAATCATCTTTTATACATTATAGTTTTATTTGATTTGTATTTTAATATTAACTCAAATTGATCTTCGATCATTAATTGATCATGGTAAAATATATTAGAATAATGCTTAAAGGATATTATGAAGGGATATCAAATGGGTCAATCATAATTCAAGATAGTTTAACTATCATTGTTGCCTGACTAAGATTCTTCCAATAATCGTTTTCTGACTACAGTTCTTTCAACTTATATTGTTTGTCAACTATGGTTATGTCGACCAAACGAACATGTAAACACTAATTCTTCTAACTCCCATCATGTAATGCACTCTATATGATGTATATTTGTTTCATAAAGTCAATTCCTTCCCCCTAAAGAAAGGCCTCATTTGTAATCAAACGCAAATACTAATCGAGTCTATTCATTCAAACTGGGCCAGATCCCATGATTTTTTCCCCTTTTAGAAGTCTCAACGTAAAAACTCTAGTGTCTCTTTTGAATAGTACAATCCTTTTTTTTATTTGATTGTGTGTTGGATTTTTGTCTAAAACTTAAATGTTAAACTTTATATTTCTTTATCGTTGCGAATATTCCATGATGCAACATTAATCAATTTTAAATTTAAAAAGAAACAAACTTAAATAATTCTTGCACATACAATCTAATGAATTATCTAAGTTATATTTGTAGTATCTTTAATGGATCATATGCAAACACATACCACCATTTACCTAATTTTAAAGAAAAGTCTTCTTTTAAGGTATACATGATTGCATGCAATTCTTCAAAGATCGTTTGTGTGGATTTATTTCAAACAATGTAAATCTATAAGTATATATATTTTTTGTTCATAAATATTCATTCTTTCTGTACGATTATTACTTTAATTTATACAACTATTTTATGAAAGTTGTTAATACTGTTATGAATGCTAAGTGCTATTATAAATATTGGGCCTATAAAGTTAAATTTATCATTGTAAATCCTCCAAAATACTTCAAATCTTTTGCTCTATGATAGGTACGAACACCTGACGTAGCTATACATCCGGACGCTAATAAAATGTCGCAACGTGCTCGTACTCTTTACCGCGCGGCCCGATGACCCGACCGGGACCGGAACTCGGTATTGCTATGTATTGCTCGATATTGCTTGGCAATAATGAGAAAAATTGTTCTGTCAAGACCAATATCTAACAATACCGAGCAATAACTAGCAATATCGAGCAAAACCTAGCAAAAACGGGGTATTGCTCGGTATTGCTAGGTATTGATCTTGACAGAATGTTATTTCTCATTACCGAGCAATACCTAGCAATACTATAATCTTCATAAATTAACTGATACATAGCAATACGGAGTTCCGATTTGATCGGGTCGTCGGGCATACAGTAAAGAGTAAGTGCAGACATTTTATTGGGTTCGGGATGTAGAATTACGTCCGGACCTAATAAAAATTCTTCCGATGGACGCAAGTCGATACGCCCACGTGAAGCTTCTCGCCGCCGACTTCCTCTCCCTCGCCGTATCCTCCTCCGCTCCCCCAACCATCTCCCGCCGCGGCCGCCCCATCTACCGTGCAGAATTCGTCGGCGTCGTCGTTTCCCGTGATCGCCGGCCGAAGCTTCTCCGATTCCTCATCGACGACGGCTCTGGCTGCGTGCCTTGTGTCCTCTGGCTTAACCACGACCTGCTTTCTAAGTCATCCGTTTTCGCCTCTGGAGACGATCTCGCCGCCTCCGCTGCCAGAGATCACGCCGGGAAGGTAAACCTCGGGGTGCTAGTTAGGGTTCGAGGTCGGGTGACGGTCTTCCGTGGCGAGCTACAGATAACGGTGAAGGACGTACTCGTGGAGAGGGACCCCAACGCGGAGATCTTACACTGGTTGCAGTGTATTAAACTCGCACGCGACTGTTATGATCTGCCGCTGGCGGCCGTGACGAAAGTCTGAAATTGGGCATTTTGGGGCGTAACAACTGTTTGATGATTTGCCCAAGTGAGATTTTTGCTAAGACCCTTCTCGCCAATTTGGTTGTTTAAAATTAAAAGACAAGTTTTAAGGAACCATAATTTTGTTAATTGCATTTTTATTTTGATGTAGTTCAAATTAAAGTGATTTTTAAACTATATAAATGCATTGAAATTTTCTCATTTATGAGAATTTTAATTTTACACAGAAAATAAGTAAAAAAAATAAATCATCACTTTTAGAATATATTTTATATCTTCAAGCAAATGAGTTTTGTCGGAGTAATTCTTGAATGAGCTATACTGTTAAGTTGTTTAAACCTGCGCATTTTAATAAGCGAGTTTAAATATTGAATAATGCTTACAAATTTATGACAGGAGCTGTGGGGTGCATTGGATGAGAAAAAATTTAATTCGATTGTTTAATACTTATTAGATTCGCACCATTAGTTACTACTTCCTCTCATATTTAGGGGTGTCAATTTAGGGTCACGGGTCGGGTTCGGGTCAAACCCAGCACTATTTGGGTCAATCCGAACCCAACGCGTTTTGGCAAACATGACAGTTTTTTCGGACCCGAACCTGATCCTCTTTAGGTCCGGGTCAACCCGATCGAATGACCTGGGACCGACCAAAAATTGTTGGTTTTCAGCTCAAAAAACGGATCAATCTTCAATTTTTGGATCAAAATCGGGTAAAAAAATTGGTCAATCTCAGGTTTTCGGGTCAAAATGGGTTTTCGGGTTGAAAATGGGTTAAAATCGGGTCAATTTTGGGTTATTAGGTCAACCCGAGCCCAACGCAATTTTTGAAATTGGTCGATTTGTTGAACACGAACTTAACCCATTTTGGGTCCAGGTTGACCTTAACCCGAAATTTTTGGGTCAAATTCGAGTCGGATTTTTGAGTCGTGTCAAATATTGATACATCTACTTATACTAGGATCTATTTGGAGTGATTTATCAATTTGAGGTACACACACATAGCCACTAATAAGATCATTTACAATATCATGATCTTGCATTAGCGCTAATTCAAAATATACCTATAATTATGTCATGATTATTCGACAAGTTTTACGTTGGTGTCAACAATCTAACGTAACCCTCTACTTTTCTCATTCAGAACTTGTGACCTGACAACGGCTAAATATACCCATAATCATGATTACACAAAATGATATTTACATCATCAGAATATTATCATCAAATAGAACCAACAAGAGCACAATTTATACTCAGGTTCCTTGCCATTCTCAAAAGCTAAATACCCATGTAGATGCAATGGGGTGAGCAACAAGACTCGTTTAAATTTTCAATGCATGGAAAGGGAAAGCAATATGCATGCTTATAATTTATGCAAGTTTTCATGCAAATGATCATGTATGTATGACACCGTATGAAAAGAATAATTTATGCATTATGTATTGTGTATGACATTTCACCTCAACATAACAAGTTGTATGTCATGCCATGCCTCATAATTGGCAAGGATGTCACTAAGCAAGTAAATATGTATAACAGGTAAATAATAAACATTATGTGTTTTAAATATGTATAATAATAATGATAAATATGTATAATGATGATGATGATGATGATGTGATTAATCATTTCAATATGTACTCATGTTGGTAAAGTATTGGTGAATCATTAACAATAATTTTATCTTAATCACCTAGGAGAATTCCCACAATCATAACATGCTTGTCATTCTTTTTACCCGTTTGCCACTAGCATACACCATTGTCTTGCAATATCTTTAAAAAATCTCAAAAAAATATGCATAATATTGTTCACTACCTTTATATAGCAAAAATGATTCATAAAATAGACATAAGATGACTCCAAAATGATTAAGGGATTATTTGGCTTGAAGTAGAAGCAGTGTAAAATATTTCAAATACATGATTTTGAAAATTTTGGTATTTGGACTAAAGTAAAAGAAGATAGAGTAAAATTTTTATGTATTTTTATATTCACCCTCTAGTTTAATTTTGGTGTATTTGAGAATCGTTATATTGGCTGATTTTCAAATACAATGTAAATTCTTTGTTGTCCACATAAGCCTTCGCCGCCGCCACAACTCTCTCCCACTGTCCGTCGACCACTAGCCATTATCACCATTGGGCTTTTTACTACATTTATTTTACGTCAAATAAAAAATTAAAAAAAAAAACTTTAATTAATTTTACACTTGTCTGAATATTGTAAATACACAACATTTTTTTACACTTTATTCTAATTTTCTTTGTATTTTGTTTTCATCCAACTAAACAACCCCTAATTGTGCTTGTTGGCTCCTAGTTGCCAAGTTTGAATCAAATTGAATTAGGGCTTCTTATTGGAAATATCCCCTTCGTCAAAGCAATCAGAATTCGATTCAGCGACCACTTAGAAAGCTTCAAAACTTCATTGTGCAGATTTCAATGAAGATAGCTGGGAAAATAATAAAAATCATACATACCAAAGCGAAATAATGCTATAACAGTCCAATTTTTTCAGACCAAATTCAGTCCGAATCCCTAGAAATATTAAAAAATGACACCTCATAATCAGACGGGCTAATTCATGAGAAATTATTCTGTGCAAACTACGAATGTATAGAATCGTCCGGATGTTACATATGAACTTACTGTGTCATTCCATATATAGCATCCGGACGATCCTTTTAAGTTCGGAGTCCGCACATAATAATTTCCCCTAATTCAGGCTATAAATTATCACTAGTCAAAATTGATGAAAACCACAAGACACCGGACTGGTCCTAATGAGCAAGAAAAAGCAATCTTGTCCTCCCTGTACAGGATTCAAAGCACTTCTTATATGAGGCAAGCTCTGTTCTGAATTTTCAAGTGAGAATGTTCAATTTATCAGTATAAAGTGGAAAAGGCTTTACAATAGACAAGCTTTGAAACCCTTATCCAATTCTTTAGCATTGAGATTCTTCCCTATAAATACAATTTTGTTGATTCTTGCTTCCTCTGAACCCCATAATCTATCAGGAGAACCTTGGAAGATATCATGAACTCCCTGCATCAAATGCACAGGATGGGTTGTGAGAAACCTTATAATATGCGTGGAGAAAAACAAAGATCAATTATAATGGCATGGGCATCTTAATGCGGACTAGGAGTCCCTGTTCAAGCAGTAAAGAAAGAGCAAGTAAGTTCATGCATGAGTTCAAAAATAATAATTGAAAAATTTGTCATTCTGAATGAATTTGTTAATTTCTAACTTCAATATGGTGGGAAGTTAAAATATGCATGAACAAAATGAGCTGCCCGAAGGAAAGAACACAAATTGTTTGGATTAAAGTTTATTTACTGCAAAAATAAAGCAAGACTCTAAAGCGTCGGTCGCGGGTATAGTGGCATGGGTGACCCGGTAGGTCGGCCGGGGTTTACGGACCGCCAAGCACGTTCGGCGATGCCGGGCGTGGCAGTGGACGGTTCCTCGTCACAAAAAAAAAAATGTTGCACAATCTCCTACAACCTTAATTCCATGTGTTCTTGTGTTACCCTAGGCTACGATATTATGATGTGAAATCTCTGAGCCCAAATGTAGTGCCTAGTGGTGGACCTCACATAAGCAACCAACTTGAGTGAACTCCTTTGTGTCCTTACCTATTCGTACAAAGCCTCTGCACTCTGCACCCTGGCAGCACTCTTACCCATCCAGATTGCTCGTTTCGAGTCCACATTGCTATTTCACTTGCAAAAAAAGGAACATGATCTTTCCTGCCAAACGCACCGATAATTCCTACCAATCCATTACACCAAGAAAGATGAGCAAGAAAACAACGACCATAACACTCCATGTTGACCACGATTCAATCCATGCCAAAGATGCAATCTTAAGATATCTTCCTTACTACCTCCATCAAAACCTAAAAGTCAAGACTAAAGAAGAAGTTGGTTTGCTAAAAGAATATATAGAATCCTTGTTTCTTAGATAAGCTATCAAATGACCATTGATATTAACGAGACCAAAGACTATCCTTAGCACCATCAATCATAAATCCAACTAGAGTTATGCTTCACTCTATTCATCTTTGATACAACCAAAGTTATCTTCTCTCTAAGTAGGAAATAAGATTTTGTAAAAATTTTAAATTTTATATTATTAAAATACCCTCATTTTAACATCCTACATTAACATTAACTTATATTGTCACTTTTGATGGCAGGATTATTTTGGCAACTATTTAAGAAGAACTCTCAGGAACTAAATTAGATTTTTCATATAGACCAAGACTCGAATAGCCCCCGACAAATAATAAAAGAGTGCATTTTGGTCCTTTTCCATAATGAAAAATCAATAACTTGCATATTTTGTCCTAAATAGCAAAACTTTTAATTAAATTGTAGAATGAAAAAAAGAAGCATTAAAGAAGTAGCACTGACGCAGTACAAAACAATAAGTCAAAGATTATTTCTGTTACTTTAGAATAATTTGTGATTTATTTTAATTTTTATATTTAATTATTAGTAATATAGCTTATGATTAAGATTATAGAATTATTGATTAAATTTTGAAATCATATCTCCTATCTATCTCTCTCCCATAACATTCAAGCTTTCTCTATCCTCCTGCTACCCAATAACCTTCTCATGGGAAATTGAATCTCAGGCTTCAGCTCTTATCCCTGTTACAGTACAATGCTACTGTAGTAATTGGTCCTCTTCAAGGTAGAATTTGATTCCAAAAGCAAATTTGAGAAGAGAAAGAAATCAAAAGCCCATCATCACATTGAAATAAATTCAATTCTTCTTCTACATCAATTAACATCAAAGCCGAATTTTTTACGGTAATTATATTTAAACCTTTGCTTATAACCATTTTGAATTTCTCCCATCAATTAAGTGACATTAGTAAAGCCAAGAAAGTTGGTGGGTATAAGATGAATAGATTATGCCTAGAAAATGCATCATAAACATAAAAATTTGCCTAGGGAATTATAATTTTTTTATTAATTTAGTTTGTAATCGTCATTATGAATTCATTAACATGTTCCAAAAGAAATAGATGCAGCGGTAGCCAACAACCACATGCAATAAGAGCCTTTGAATTACGAAGAATAACCCAAAGAAATCATATCATGAGCAAGAGATATATGATAATTCTCACTCATAATTGAACAAAGCCCAACTACCATAAAATTGGAAAAATTGTCAGCCAGAAACCCTAACAACGACAAAAGCCACATTAATATTTTCACAGTACAAACCTGAAAAACAAATCTTTCTTCCATGCCTTCCACAGAAAGAATACCTTTCATACGATATATGTCATCACTTCGTTCCATTAATAAAGTGCCCAACCACATGTTTGCCTGTATCCAATGTGAAGTTGTGGCTCAATAAAATAAAATAACCCCGTAAGGTACAACATCAGTGGAGTAGAATAGAAAGACTAATTTATGTTTACTTATCTTGATTATGAAAAGATAACACACTCATATAAAGAAAAACAAAAATAAGAACCTTGTTGAGGTCGAGGCTCCCTTCACAAACAATGCTTACAGAAGAAACACCAGGATCATGAACATGGTCATGCTCGTGATTATCTGCAAGTTGAAGTGAAATAAGATAAGTAAATTAAAGCATTAAAAAGTGATGAACTGCACAATTAGCACACCTGAGAGGATATATATAATAATACTATTATGGAAAAAATCAACGCCAGCAATCATGCAGTAATTAGGAAGACATAAAGATTAGAAACAATTCCCTAGAGGGAACAAATAAATGGTTAGATATATAATAATCTAGTTTATTTGTTTTCTACGATAAAATTTCATTACTAGTGAAGAAAAATATTACATGAAGAAGCAATTGCAAAAATTTTCCTACAGAAAGGTAACGCAACAAAATAAATTGGATCAAAATAATATGTAAGCTGAGAGAGTATTTTTGGTCCAAAAGAAGAGTGGTAGGCCTACAATCAAGCACTTGCTAGGTCAAGAATGTCAAAGTCATTAATAGTGTTATTTTGAATGGTTTGAAATCTAGCAAACATGGGAGAATAACGAAGAATGTTTTTCCTATTTGTGCTTTCACAAGAAAACAGAAGCTGGAAACTTTTATCCGCTAAACTAAGAATACTTTTCATATAATCTTAAGAATGAACATAGCTTGAATCATCAACCACCTCCGCATAAGAATAATCATGAATAGCATTAGGAAACAATATAAAAATGCCAAAGAAAGGAATGAAAGTAAAAGTAATTGAATGGTCCCTCAATGGATCAAAAGTTAGCTTTACAAGAAATGACTCTTGAAGTATCAATGTGCCCAGCAACCATATGTGAAGACACCAAAGATGGGGTAACAAGTGGAATATTGACATCCAACAAAACAGCAACAACTAGGAAAGGCACATACTCAATGGAGGAGGACAAAGTAGGTTCTACGATACAAGAATATTCCATGGGAATTGAAGGAACAACTGCTATCATCTTCAAATAAATTGACCATTAATATTAA